TTCCAGAGTTTCTTGTGTATTCATATTTTTCTGAATGCTCCTAACCAACGAAATAGAATTGTCAGTCATTCGGAAGCCATCTACAAAATAATAAAATAATGCATTTGAAAACTATGAATTATCAATTAAGTTTTTAAAAAAAAATGAAAAATTGCATAGGCAGCAGACAATTGTCAGCTCAGGATTTGAATTAAAATTACATGCAGGATTTGAATTAAAATTACATGCAACCATCACTGCATTTGAATTAATTTCTAAATTTATACCAAATGGATTAATAAAATTATGAACTATTAAATGATCAATTAAATTTTCAAAAAAAAAAAAAAAGTACTATTGCACGCAGGCAGTAGGCAACAAACAACACAATGGCAGGGCAAAAGAAGAAAACATTTCACAATAATAATAATAATAATAATAATAATAATAATAATAATAATAATAATAATAAATTTGAGTCAACTACAATTATGGATAAATAAATTCTAATAACAGCAAAACCTATTGTTTTCTAAGACTCAATCCGACACTTTGGCAACAAGTCTGTCATTTCACCTAAAAACAACAAGAAATGAAAAAATAAAAAAAAAACCAAAGAATTTCACATATCCAACCAACAAATAATAATAATAATAATAATAATAATAATAATACAAATATATAATAAATAAAACACCACCATCTCGATTCAGTTTTGAATCAATCAACAAATCAAAAAATTCAATCTTCACCATTGGATTTAAAACTCAATCTAAACAAAAAAAATACATTATAATTGTTTCTTCATTCATTTATTTTTAACTTTGTCATACCCAAAACTCCAACAAATAATAGAAAAAATAAATAAGTAAAATTATACAATAAGTTACATTCTAGGAAGAACAACAGTTTGACGATGGTAGCTTTAGTTGGAGAATGGATTAGGCGAGGAAGATGGAATAAATCGACAAGAAAAAAAAACGGTGTTGTGGTGTGTCGCCTGCGTGCGAATAAATTGGTGGATGCTGTTATATTTTCTTAATTTTGAAAGTAAGGAGAAATACTTGGACTCTGCATGCGAATAAATTGGTGGCTGTTGTCATAATATAATTAGAAAAATAATTTTTTTTTAATTAAAAGTCAGGTCAGGTCTGGGTCCAGGTCGAGTATATGCTAGACCCTGAACCCAACCCGACCCCTAAATTTTCTATTAGACCCAGACCCGACCCTAGACCCGAATACTTGGACCCGACCTAGATAAATGGGTCGGGTCTCGAATCTACCCGGATTCATTGCCATCCCTAAGTGTGAAAGTTGAGAAAATCTCTTTATAAACTCAAGCAAGTTTCACGTGTATGGTTCAAGACACTTGTTGAGAATGTGCTTCATTTTGGATATGAGCAATCTCCGTATGATCATTGTTTGTTTATCAAGCATGTTGGATCCAATTTGTTGGTCCTAATTATATATCTCAATTTATTCAAAAAGCTAAATCTTTTCTTTACAAAATTTTTATTATTCTTGGGATAGAAATTAAAAAATTAAGAGATTGACTCGCTCTACCTTAGAAGCAATATATATTTGGCATCCTTAATGATATGAAGATGTTAGATACTAATATTGTGTTCACTCCACTGCTAACAGACCTATGACTGTCTATAATGGATGGAGAGCCTTTTGATAATCGAAGACTCATTGACAGACTTTTGTACTTGAACTTCTCTAGACCAGATGTTGCCTTTGCAACTCAATAGATGAGGCTGAATGTGAACAAGTCCTCAACATCACATTGGAAGTATAGTTGTCAAACAAACAAATAGTTAGCAAACTAGATCGGTTCAGTTCGTTTGAATCCGTTAAGAGCTTGTTCGTTGAGCTAAATGAGCCAAACACGAATATAAATGTTGGCTCATTATGTTCACGAACGAATTCGAGTTTATTCACGAACGTTTAACAATATTTATTAAGAAAGTAAATTAATATTTTTATATTTAATAAGTATATTTATCTTTATAAATATTATATTTAATTCTATTCAATTTAAATTTATTAATATAAAAATTATAGGGAAAAAATCAATTTTGGTCCCAATATAATTAAAATTAATCAATTTTGGTCCAAATATAAAAAATTTATCAATTTTGGTCCCAATATAACCAAAATTTATCAATTTTGGTCCCAATATAAACAATTTCAATCAATTTTGGTCTCATTATAAACAATTTTTATCAATTTTGGTCCCACCGTTAAAAAATTAACGAAAATTGCTGACGTGGACATGACGGAGGTGACGTGGCAGTTGACCTGGAAAGTACACGACCATATACAATTATACACGGCCATGTTGTTACATGGCCATGTATATTTCAGTATATAATTGTACATGGCCTTGTAACAACATGGCCATGTTGTTACACGGCCATGTACAATTATATACGGCCATGTTGTTACATGACCATGTATATTTCAATGTATAATTATACATGACCATGTTGTTACACGGCCATGTATAATTCTACACGGCCGCGTATCTTTCTGTTTCGGTCTAAAATTTTAATTTTTTGTTATATTTTTAATTTTTTTTTTAATTTAGAATAGTTGATATAGTTAAAATAGAAAATAATAATAATAATAATCATAATATAATTAAAATATATCAATTTTAGTTCAAATATAAGTATTTATTGTGTATGTTCTTTTGGAAGATTTTGTCTAAAATTATACTCCTATTTAGCAAAAATTTCAATACATTAATTAGATGTTTGTAAGAGAAATATTTTTGCTAAACAGTAGAATTTTAGACAAAATCTTCCAAAAGAACATACTCGATAAATACTTATATTTGAACTAAAATTGATATATTTCAATTATATTATGATTATTATTATTATTTTCCATTTTAACTATATCAACTATTCTAAATTCAAAAAAAAATAAAAATATAACAAAAAATTAAAATTTTAGACCGAAATAGAAAGATACACGGCCGTGTAGAATTATACATGGTCGTGTAACAACATGGTCATGTATAATTATACACTAAAATATACATGGTCATGTAACAACATGGCCGTGTATAATTGTACATAGCCGTGTAACAACATGACCATGTATAATTATACACTGAAATATACATGGCCTTGTAACAACATGGGCGTGTATAATTGTACATGACCGTGTAACAACATGGGCATGTATAATTGTACATGACCGTGTAACAACATGACCATGTATAATTATACACTGAAATATACATGGTCATGTAACAACATGGCCGTGTATAATTGAACATGACCGTGTACTTTCTAGGTCAACTGCCACGTCACCTCCGTCATGTCCACGTCAGCAATTTCCGTTAGTTTTTTAACGGTGGGACCAAAATTGATAAAAAATTGTTTATAATGGGACCAAAATTGATGAGTTTTTTATATTGGGACCAAAATTGATTAATTTTGATTATATTTGGACCAAAATTGATTTTTTCCCAAAATTATAATAACTATTAATTTAATTTAATTTTTTTTAAATGTTAAAAATATTAAGAAAATCTCTTAACGAGCCGAGTCGAACCGAATACAACAAAAAAATTGCTAAACTAACCGAGCTCAAACAAAATTTTCAGCTCGTATCTCTTAACAAACAAACTCGAATCATTAACGACTCGAACTCAAACATGACAAGCTCGGCTCAACTTGGCTCATTTATAACTCTAATTGGAAGACAACTATTCATCTGTTTAAATATCTTAGAGGGTCAATGAATTATGAGTTTAAATTTGACTCAAACAACTCATTACAATTAGAGACTTATTGCTATGTTGATTGTGGCAATTGCGTAGACCCTTACAAGTCAATTACAGGGTATTGCATTGTTGCAGAAATTCCAAAAAATCAAGAAGGCAAACAAAACACAATGACACAAAAATTTGGTTACCCAATTCAATCAGAATTATCTATGTCTGGGGCTTTACCAAGCCAGAAATTTTACTATAGAATAGAATATACAAAACACTTGTTAAAGTGAAAATACCTTGATATTTATAGTCTAAATCTATGTCAATAATATTCAAATAATATATCTAGATTTAGAATGTAATATTCAAATTATATCTCTAGATTTTAGGATATGATCAGGCTTTATATCTCAATATGCATACACTTTGGGACCAATCGTATTTTTTAGAAAGTAAAAAAACAATGCACTGTCAACATTTCTTCTACAGAAGCAGAATATAGAAACATGTGCACTAAATTAGCATTTCTTCTATAAAAGCAGCTGTGAATCTCTTACATTCTTAATACTCTGCAAATTACAGTCTCAATTGAAGCAATTCTTTGTATGTTCCTAGGGTGTGTTTGTTTGGGGATTTGGATTTTGAATTGGAATTTGAATAGTAAAAATTTTGAATTTGAATAGTTGTATGATGTAATATAAATAGGTGTTGATGTGATGTTTTGAATATAAAATTAATTTTTAGTATAATATAAAAAATAAAAAATAGTTGTTTGATTTAATATTTTTGGGAGAATAAAATAGGATGAATAGTAAAAATCTAATATATCCCCCAAACAAACACACCCTAATGTATTGATTGGAGAAAAGAATAGCATATTGATTTATCATTGTTATGTGAAAAAGAATTCATTTTTTAAAAACTTATACTACTATAAATTATCTTGTGACTTTTACTCTAAAAAATTGTTTATTTGGTTGGTATAATTTTATTTCGAAAAGAAATAGATAAATTATTTAGATACTATTTATCAATAATAATATTTTAAAAAATATTATATTAAATATATAAAACATTTTACTTTTTCAAATCTTTAAAAATCCTCTGTTACACAAAATATTTGTTCAAATAAAATACAAAATAGAAAATTGTCTATTGATATTTACAAACCATAAGTCCTCTTAGCATCGACTTGTCTCCTATTAATAGTATGTTTCTTTAGTAGAAGTTTTTTTAAATTTTATTATTTGAATTTTATATTTTTAAAAAAAATATATTCATAAAAATATTTCATCAAACACTATTTTCATATAAAATTCAAATCAATTTTTTTTCAACTTCATACAAAAAAACACACTCGTATATATAATTCATTTATTGCCTTCCGTAGGTAAAATAGGAAAAGGGATAACGGTAACGGATCGATCATAACGCCGTCACCGTCTCAGCTAACGGCGGAGACGGCGGCAATCTGGCGGAGAAACTCTTCAACGGCGCCTCGTCGTCGAATTCAAATCCATCCTCGAAATTCAGCGCGTAGCTCAACGGATCGTATCTGAACTCCGCCATAGAGTACCGCCGGCTCTTCACTCCGGCGATTCCGAAGATGGAGCAACACGCCTCTTTGATCTCCGACAGTGACTGATGATCGTGCGGCGGCCGGGATTTGCCACACTCGATCCAAATTAGCGTCGGATTTTCGTCGGAGGGGAGAGGAAAGTGGCGGCGCCGGCGCCGGCGGTGGAAGCAGCAGGAGAAGCAGAGGGATTGCGTGAGTCTGTGAAGTAGAGACGGCGGGGTAGAATAGTCATTTAAGTCCATTGCGGAACGGTCCTTCGCGGCTGCGGTATTTATAGGAGGGTGAAATGACGGAAAAGGACATGGACTGGGGTAGGTTGAGGCTGTGGACTGTGCGAGTGGGGAAGGCTGTATTTAACGTTTAGGTCTTATCTCTATTCTATAGTTTGAATTTAGTTTAATAAATACTTGCTATCTATTTATTTATTTATTTTTTATGAGAAATTTTAAAAATATTAATATTATATTAAAATACAATAAAAATAAATATAAAAAATGTAAACTATCCTTATTAATATTTATATGATATAAAATTAATGATTTTTATATAATATATTATAAACTGCAAAAATATTTATAATATTAAATAAATAGTATTCTATCTGTCCATAACTATAGTCTAGGTTGTATTTAATACAGAATTTAAGTGGGTAAAAAAATATAAGTAAAAGACTTTTTTGCTTTTGTAAGTGTATTAGTATAAAAAGTAATGACAATTGTGCAATAATAATAAAAAAATAAGGTTAATTTTATAGGGATATAATTATTTATGGAAATGAGACTATTGTTTTGAGACGAACTAAAAATGATAAACAAAACTATTATATTGGGACGGAGAGAGTATAATTATTAAAAAATAAATAAATAATTTGCTACTCGACAGATGAAAATAAGTTAAGAGACTAAGGAGTATTATTCTAGACAATATTTGGAAATGAAACTTAATGATAATTTATATTAAGTGCAATAGTAATTAACAACATGGATACGGATACGGTGCTAAAAAAATAATTTCAGCATCATGCTGAATAACTAAAATTTAATTATATATGATTATATTAATTATATTATTTAATTATATAAATTAAGATAATTATTTTTACTCATTCAGAAACAATTTTCTTCAGCATTTAATCCTCTTTCATTAAGTAATGTAATATGTTTGAAAATTAGTCATTTGTTATGTTTTGATTTTTCATTTTTGTTTTTGTTTTTGTTTTTTATATTATTTTTATACTGTAACATGAATTTAATTAGATTGATTAAAATACTCATCACAAAATAATGCGATTGGTTGTGGTTTTCTTATCCCAAAATTCTCAAATTTTAACATTTATACTATGTGTTTTTTTTAAAAAAAAAAATATCAAAAAAATTCACCAAACATTTCATAAAAAATTATTTTAGTATAAAACTCAAATTAAAATCTTTTTAAACTAAATTCAATAAAACATTTATTTAAATAATATTTTGATCTGATTAAGCAATATATTTCTATTATAAATTGGAGGGAGAAATAGTGGTAGAGTGTGTTTAAAAAAAAAACCTCATCATGTATACCTCTATTCTCGGATTTCTTTGTTAAACTAATTTTCACATGATTTTTAATGTATATATATATAATATATTCCCTTCGTTCCATGAAATTAGTCCAGTTTCTTTTGGGCATGCAATTTAAGAAATATTGTGTTAGGTAGTTAATTAGTTTGATTAATGAATGTAATGAAGTGTTATATTAAATATTTTTTATTTGGTAAATTGTTAAATCAAAAGTTAAAATATTTTTTATTTTAATTTTTAAATATTGAATTTTTTATTTATTGATATTATTTAAATATAATAATAACAACTGTATTTATTGTAAATCAATACGTGCATTTAGATAAAAAAAAAATTTTAATAACTTAAATATAATTTATACAATAAAAAATGTAATAAAAAATTATATAAACAATAAATAAATTTTTTCGAATTTGGTTGTTGTTAGAGATAGTTCGTTATGACATACCTTTAATACCACATTGCATACGTACGGTACAAAATTTTTGGTATGATATTTTACCGTACCGTACAAATATTTTGGTACACTGAATTTGCGAATAAAAAATACTGAATTACGGAAATAACATGCATACTCGTAAAAAAAATACCGAAAAAATTTCAAAATTTGATACAATATGACTTTTTTTGTATGATAACAATATACAATAAGATATTTTCAGTGTACATAGATAATTAAAAAAATTGGTATTTTTGTATATACTGATTATTTGATACAATATCGATATTTTTTAAAAAAAATTAAAAAAATTGGTACGGTATACTATAAATTTCGATATTTTCGGTATACTATCTCAAACCATCTCTAACTGAATTGTATACACGGTATTAGAATATAATATTTTACATCAAATACCGAAATTAAAAATAAGTTTATAATTTTGCTTTATAAATAAGTTTTATTTTTTATTTTTTTTTTGAACAAAGAAAAAAAAAATCAATATCAAATCTCATTTTTAATTAATTTTCCAGCTTAAATTTTTAAATCAAACATCAAACTTTATTATATATTACATTAAAATTTGATTTTAAAATTAAATGAATATTTATTTATATAATATATTTACTATTTTTATTATTCAAAATTTTAGTCAAACTTCTAAATTTATAATTAAGAATAATAAAACTAAAAATATTAGTAAGATAATAAAATATAGTTAAACTTTTTTAATTAGAAAGATTAATTATTAATTATTACTAAAATAGAAAAGTGGACTAATTTAATGGGACGACTAAAAAAAGAAAAATAGACTAATTTCGTGGGATGGAGGGAGTAATATAATATATATTTTATTATTTAAATTTTCTCATACTTTATATTAAAAATAATATCTCAAACTAAAATATTATTCAAAAAAGACTTTGTTTATAAATTTTCAATATACTCCCTTCGTTCGATAAATATAGTTTTAATTGGGTTGGACACGAAATTTAAGGGATATTGATATTATATTGGTAGTTCGTAAAAAGTATGCATAAAATATTTTTTTTGTTCTTGTGAGTGTATTATAATAAATAGTAGCAGCGATTGTGTAATAAAAATGAAAAAGTAAAAGTAGTTTATGATGCTATGTTTATTTATGGAAATAAGACTATTGTTTTGAGACGGACAAAAATGATAAACAAGACTATTGTATTGGAACGAACATAGTATTTTTTTTACAAAAATTAATACATTACATACACTTTTTATTTTTATATTATCTCCAAGATATGAATTTGTTTATTTGAGGTTTAATTTTGATTTTCTTATCATTTTTCTAAAAATAATGGTTTAGACATGATGGCGTGTGTGATAAAATAAAAATAAAAATTATTCTTTTCGTTCTATTTAAAATGTTCATTATTTTTATTTTTTTTTATATTTCATATAATTTATATATTTTACTTTTTTTAAAAATAATTATATATTTAATTACCTTTTAAATTTTTTAATTTATAATTTTTTAATTTTAATTAAAATATATAGTCATTTTAATTTTAACTTATAATTATCTGTATTATATCATAATTATTTTTAATAATATATTTTTAATACTTATAATTATTGATTTTTTTAAATTCTCGTATCTACAATAAATATGACATTTTATTGAAAAAGGAAAATTATATTTTTTATAAAAAATTATTAGTTGTCGTACACAAATGCAGTACGTAGCACTTCGTTGGCATACACTTACCGTAGGTGTAGATGTTTGTGATTAGTTAGAGAAACCTATATATATATACCACGATGTATTAAAAAAAATCAATTCTCCAAGTCTTCCTCCTGCTCATTCTCTCTGTACGGCATTAATTAGATTAGATATATATGCAAAGATAAATATAATAATATATACTTACAATATACATACATATACATATTATATATATATATAATTACCGACTTATATATTACACTTATTATATAACATTAGTTAATTAAATAAAGCAATTCAAAGTAAACAAATGAAATCATTTGATTTTAATTTAAAATTTGAGATTTTAATTTTATTGTTTTTATATTAATTTGATAATATTTATGACAACAAATAATATATTTTTATTGAAAATTGAATAATAATATGCATACTAAACCATCCTATATTTAACTATATAGAAATGGCCATTCGAACCGGCCCGGTCCAATAAGATTCTAAATTATGTTGGGCTGGAGCCTGAAAAGTTTGGCCCGAGGACGACCTTGTTTAAAATTGGGCAATGCCAGGCCAATCCATTTTAATTTTTTAAAAAAAATTTCAACTTTTTTTTTTTCTTTCTTTTTCATTTAATAAAAATTTTACTAAACTTGCAACCAAATATAGAAAAGATAACGCCTTTACTATCAAGCTACAACTCAAATTTTGTTATTACTTTATTAATTAATATACACATAAATATATTAATTTTAATAAACTAAGTCGGGCCAAGAACGGCCCTAATTTCATAAGCCTGGATATTTCCGGTTCATTAGTGTGTCGGGTTAGGTACAGTTCGAAAAATATCGAACCTATTTTCGGAGGTCCAAATATAATTCTTTTGTGCTGAATTCGAATCGAGTTTTGGAACTGTTATTATTTTTGCCACATCCACATGTTTAATTTGTATATGCATTTATGTTTGATTAACTACTAAATATATAGTATTTTTTTTTAAAAAAAAAACAATAATACTTCATATAATTAGTGTGTTCACTTAAATTAATGTTTATTGATAATATTATCTAAAAAGTATAATACGTATATATATATATATATAATATTTTATTTATTAAAAAAATTAATAATTCAATACAAAATATTTTATTTGTCTAAGTTAATCATGTCACAATATCCTAGTATGAAAGCTAAAATTATAATTATAAAAATATATGAATATTTTTAATATTAAGGACCGAATAAGTAGTATTTTAAGGTGTGTTTGTTTTGTGCTTAGGTATGAATTTTTTATTTTTTTTATGTAATGTATAAAGAATTATATAGATAATATAAAAATAATAAGTGTGTAGTATATTAATTATTTTTTAAAAATATGTTGGAAAATATTTGGAAAAAAAACAAACCCTTAATGTAAAAGGTGGGATAGATAAAAAAAAAATAGGTGTGACAGTAATATTAAAAAAAAAATTAATTAAAGAGTTAATTAAAAATAGTAAGGTAAATAAATAATAATAATAAATTGATTATTACTACTTCCTCCGTTCGAGAAATTTAGTTCTAATTTTTTGTAAAAATACAAAAGAATGGAGCTAAATTTATGGGATGGAGTGAGTATTTGTTAACATAGAAATAATAAAATTATGAATGGATAAAAATTTTAATTATACATAAATTTAATAGATAATTAAAAAATAATATAATTATTGGACAAATAAGATATTATTCTCTCGGTCCTACTTATCATATTCATATTTTCATTTTTATGCGTCCCACTTACCATGTCCACCTACTTATTTTGTCACTTTTTTTTTAAAAAAAAAATAATTATACACTTTAATCTTATTTAAAATTTTTTTATTTAATTAGACTAATTAGATAATTATTTTCGTTAACACATTTTTAATTATATACTAAATATATCCTCATAAATTCTCGTATTTACAGCGGACATGGATGGACTATTTTTTATCTTATAAACATAACTTTTTTATATATACCATCCATGCATGCAAAGATACAAAACAAACATATAAGATGTAAAAGAAATAATATTATAAATTTTAATTTAACAAATTTGTCCAACAAATTTTTTTATTGTAATTTCAAATTTATTTAAAATAAAATGACGGTTTAAATTTTTGGTAAATAAAGATATTTTATTTAAAAAAAATAAATTATAAATACACAATAATTTTTCATATTTTTGTCATAAAAAATACAAAATTTGTACTCCCTCCGTCCACACATAAAATATATAATTACTTTTGGCGCGGTGTTTAAGAAATAATAGTATTTTAATTATAGTGGGTAGTTAAAAGTAGTATAATGCTATTTTTACCCTTACTTTCTGGTGTAAAAGTAATAATTTGATGTAATTTTATCTCTTTAAGTAAAATATAAATCTCACGGCGTAGTATTTCAATTATAATTATTTGTATCAATATCTCATTACACAAAAAGAATAAAATAAAATAAAATAAAAGTATAAGTAATACTTCCTACGCCAAAAGATTTAGTCTTATTTTTTCTAGTTTCGTCCCAAAATAATTATCTTGTTTTTTTACGTTGTAAATATAATCCTTATTTTATAATAAAATTATTTCTATTTTTTCAAACTATGTTTAATTATTATTCTAATTTACTTTTTAAATTTTTAAAAAAGTAAAGATATTTTAATTTTTAATTTTTAATTTTTTACTTTATACCATCAACTAAATATTTATTTTATTTTATTAAACTTATACATCAAAATTGAATACATACGAATAAAGGAAGGAACAGTAATTAAGTAGATGAAAGTGGCGAGTCAAAAAAGGAGATTTTAATGTTAATCCACACACTCTTCACTTTCCGCGAAATTCCCTTTGAGATTCTCAGAAATCTCCCCACATCAGAATTTCCGCCATGGAAATCTCCACGAAGCTTCTCCATCTTCCTTCACCAATAATTAATAAATCTTTTATATAACTCAACTCAACTCAACTCATCTCCTCTTCTCCTCAGCTTCCCCCAAAATCTGTCCGATCCGCAGAAATGTCTGGAATGCTCCCTGGAGTTGAAGCCGCGAGAAGGCGACGAACTCACCATCGAGACGCGAAGAACAGCAGCGATGGCAGCAGCAGCAGCAGCAGCAGGAGATCGTCTGCTTCCTGTCTCTACGCGGCAAAGGCTTTCGAAAAACTCCACATCTCTCTCACAATTCCGTATCTGCGCCAGCACAAGGTACGGCAAATCCCTAATTTTGTGGTTTTAATTTTTTTTTCGGCCTAGGGTTTGGGAATCGATCGATTTGTGATTGAGAAATGGTTGATTAGGCGCGCGATTGAGTAAATTGACGAATTGGTGCGTGTGATTTGCAGAAATTTGGCGATGGCGATGATGATGAGCTTGACGCCGTAGCCAGAGAGGCTAAGAAGAGATTGGATCTGAGATTGCAAACGCATTTCGATAAAAGGAAATCGAAGGGTTCTTCAAAATGATCTGGATTGATGATGAAGTGATGATGATCTGTTAAGATCAATTTTAGTGTTGATGATGAATAGAATAGTATAGAGATAGTCGAGTCGAGTTGTTCTTTAATTCCCTTTGTACATATATATACAGGATACTCAAATACGAGGTTTCAAGAATGTTCATCGATTTGTTGGTGTGGGTTCCGGAAGTACTCCAAATAGTCTGTTCGTTGTTGGATTGGAGGCTGCACAGCTTTTTCGATTTTACACGAGGCTTCGAGCCTAGACAATCAATTTCGATTGATTTAAAATAACATCTATTAAAATTCGGATTAATCTACCGGAAAACGGATAAAAATAAGCTAGAACATAAAGCCATGTAATTCTAATTAAAATATCTAAAAACGGAACTAGAACATAAAAAGAAAATAGAGAAAAATACGAGTTGATCTTCTTGTGCGTGTGTGTTGCATTTTCTTTTTAGTTTTAATCCTAAAATAGAATAATCATCTCTTTCACTAAAGAGGCGATTACAATTATTTCTCCACCACTTTCAACCGCATGGTAATCTCCCACTGCTATTTTCAATTTCCTGGTAACCTCGTTCCACTACCTCCTAACCACCTGATAACTTCTTTTCATCAGCTCCTTGATAACTTTCTTCCATAAGCTCTTAACCATTTGATAACCTCCTTCCATCAGCTCCCTGATAACTTTCTTCCATAAGCTCCTAACCACTTGGTAACCTCCTTCCATCAGCTCACAACCGCTTCCATTGTCTCTGAATCGGGTTCCACTTGCTCTAAACTTTTTCCATTACCTCTGAACCAGATTTGCTGCTTACTCCAACTTGTTTCCATCGTACTCCTAGCCGGTCTACGGGGATGTATTCCAACAGTCTCGAGTTAAATGGAATCTTCAGTTTTCTTCTTGTTGGCTTATTCCATGAAGCTTTTTGAATAAAGTATGAGAGTGCATAGACTCTCTATTAATGTTAAGTATGAAATTATTAACCCAGGGCCAACGGAGGTAGTTATCCATGATCTATGGAAGCTGTTGCTTTCTATCTTGTGGGGACAATCTTCCTCTGTTTCGTGGAAACATCGCAGTCCCATGAAAATAGTTGTTTTCAACCCAATTGAGACAACACTTTCTGACCTTATGGAAACATTGTTCCGGGATGAAGTCGCCATAGTCCAAGGAGTTGCTGCCCTAAGGTCCATGGAGATTGCTGCTTTCGGCTATGTGGAAGCACCACAATCCAATGGAAACTGTTGCCTTCGACTATGTGGAGGCAACAGTCTTTGGCTCCGAAGCTTGAAGCTCCATTGGTGTTGAACAGCTTCGTGGCCAATGAGCTCTGCCACCATTTTTGTCTTTAAGTCTCCTTGTTCAGGTGCTTTTAGACCCATGTCCAACGTATATATATCACTCACATTCTCTTATTTTCTAACATGTCTGTCTATCTATATATCCAATGGTTATTTTGTTCAAATCCGATTTTACTGAAATAAGCTTCGTTTTGTTTTTAATAAATTATCCTAATTAATATATATTTCATTTTATAACTATTAAATTAAATGTGTAAAAATTAAACAAATAAATCCTCACATCCCAATTCTTGTGTTTTTTTAGGGAATTTGGGGAAATTTGAATTTAGATTTGGTTTTTATTTAAATTTTGAGTTTGAATTTGAATTTTGGTGTTTTTGTGTTTAGGTTTGGTCGAGGATTCGGGGAGTTTTGATATGATTGATTTGATGAATAATAAATATAATAATATGAATGTGTATTAATTTGTATAATTTAATTATATATTTATATTATATCTATATCTATATCTATATCTATATATTTAATTTTTTATTTATCTGTATTATAAAAAAATTTATTCTCTACAAAATTAAACATATATTATATATTCCCTCCGTCCCAAAAGAGTTGTCTTATTTTTTCATTTTTGTCCGTCCCAAAACAATTGTCTCATTTTTTTATTTAGTAATTGTGGTCCCCCATTTTATAACAAAATTATTTCTACTTTTCTAAACTATTCATAATTATTACTCTAATATACTTTTTAAATTTTTTCAAAAAACAAGGGCATTTTAGTATTTTATATTTTACTTTATATCTATTATTCCTTAATTCCCGTGTCAAACAACACCCAGGCATCTCTTTTGGAACAGAGGGAGTATATTTTATTAAATTATACATATTATAAAAATTCAAATTTATATTTATAATTTAAATTAAAAAATAAAAAAAATTAGGACAGTTCTGTGCAATGTATAGAGCTTGTACAGCTACTGTTGGCCCGGTTTTTTTTGGCCAAAACTTATGTGTAGAAACACACCCGAGTTGGGTTTTAGGTGAGTTATTTAATTAATATTCAATCCATAATACTAGTATCAACAAATTTTTAAATATATGTTAAAGTTTATAAATTATAGTATTTTAATAAATATATAAAATAAGAATATTATTTATAAAAAAAAATTATAATTAATACTATAAATTATTTTTTATAAAATATAATAAGTTCAAATATAAATAAATATATATTGAATGTATGTATGATATAGGTTTGTTTGCTTACATTTTTTTCAATATGATTTTTAATATTTATTATATATTTTTTTAAAAAATAAAAAAATCAACATTTAAAATAAAATATTCAAGTCAACATTCAAAATGACTCCATCCAAATCAGTTGGTTCTTTTTATTTGGGATACAATATTTAAGGTAAATGTATTTAATTAGGTAATAATATTGAATTATGATATTATTTTATTAAATTTTAATTTGAGTAATATTATTGATTTTGTTAATATATATGATTAAAATAAATACTACAAAATATGTATTAAAATATTTTAAATATTATATCTTAATAAAATATATGCAATATGGATACCATGTTGTAGAGAGTAAAATTTTAAATAATAAAAATAAAAAAATATATATTTATTTATTTATAATTAAGATAAAATTAATTTTATTAAAGAGTAGAAGTTTTAAATGTGATAAAAATATTTGTTGATTGAGGAGAGAGATACAAATAAAAGAGTTTCAAGTGAGTCCTATATTGTGTATTATGTAATATGTTATTAAGTTAATTAAATTGATTTATAGTTGTTAAGTATTAATAGATTTAGTAAATTTTACTAAAAATAAAAACGGATCAATTAAAGTGGAACGGATAAAAAAAAAAAAAGAAAAAAAAGGCAATTTAAATGAAACAGAAGGAATATTATTTTCTATATTTTCGACACTATTTTATACATCATATAAAAAATTATTTTAAATCAAAATACTAAACAAATAAATCCATAATATTTGAAAAAAAATAAATATTAAAATACTATTAATTTTAAATGTTTGTGTTCGGATATTGTGACATATTTTTAATTAAAAGTTTAAATTAAATTTTTTTTATAAAAAATTCAAATAAATTTAATTTAAAAAGATACGAAGAAGATTTGAACCCGAGTCATTTGTCAAAAGGACATTATTCATCTCCGTATATATTTTATTTCATTGACATTTCACATTAAATTTATTAAATTAATAATACATATACTCATATAATAAAATTATACTAAAATTCTAATCATTTAAAACAATTAATTGAATGATAATATAATAAAATTTATAAAATTAACAATATTAAAATATAAATACAATATTATTTAATAATTATTATACATCATTAATAATATATAATATATATTAATATATACTTTATTTTATAAAAATATAATATTCCATCTATATTTTTACATTTTTGCATATTTATTTAATTATCTTATTGTTTTATTTATAAATATGTTTCATATAAATTTATACAAATTATATAAATTAATAAAAAAATATCTTGCGATCCTATAAAATTCATATAAATAATAAAATCTAAAATGAATAGACCTCTTAATTTGAGTTTGAATCATTTTAATTTATATTGACTTAATAGCTAATAATTGTGTTAATGTAAAAATATAATATAATAATTTTATTAGTGTTATTATTATTTTTTCGTAACTTAAAAAAAATGTTAACTTTTCCCTTAAAATTTTACTCCCTCCGTCGCATATACCATTTTCACGTTGCCGTTTCTGTCCGTCCACGTACTATGTCACTTTCTTTTTTTGGAAAATGATTACACACTTTAATCTCATTTTAAATTTTTAAACTTTATTTATTTTTTTAAATTTTAATTAAACTAATTAGTTATCTTAATCTTAATTATCTACTAATTACACCCCTCCTAAAATACCGTGTCTACAGTATAGCAGACACGGTATCTGGGACGGAGGGAGTAATAGAAACAAAAGATGATCAATTTTCATTTTTTTATAAGTTTATTAATTTTAAACATACTTAATAAATATAAAATAATTTAATTAAATTTTTAACCTCTTATACGTAGGATCTACTCAAAATTCCTTTATTTATATTTTTCTCCTTAGTTAATAAATATTTTTATTTACCTTTAAAACTTCTCATTTTTTATAAAATTAATTTATGATAATGATAAATAAATAAATATATTTGTTTATTCATTTGTATTATATAAAATTTTATTGTTTACAAAATGATATTCATATTGTTGAGATATAATTCAAAAAATATTTAAAATACTAACAACACTACACATATAAAAAATAATGAAATATTATCTTAACTTATTATTAATAATTTAATAACCTATAGTATCTAAAATACTCCCTAACAAAAGGCTCCATCTTTCGCAGGATGGAGGGAGTACTTTTTCGTCAACTATTTTTATTTCCGTCACACTTTGTTGGTCTTTTTCTTTTTAGGACATATAATTAATTATACATCTTAATCACATCTTAAATTTCATAATTTATAATTTTTTAATTTTAATTATATTATTTAGTTATCTTAATTTTAATATATAATTAATTTTATCATATAATAATTATTTTTATTAATATATATTTTTAATTATTTATTAATTATATTTTACCTAAATTTTCATATTTACGGTAAACTGAACACAAAATATAGGACGGAGAGAGTAATATAGTCAAATTTCCCCAAACTTTTTAAATACTCTTCCGTTTCACGTGTCTATTTTTTTATTTTTGTTTCTTACATATTTTGTCATTTTTTAAGAAAATATTTTCTCCCTTCCAATACAATAATTTTGTTTACCATTTTTGTTC